AGGGCCACCCCTTCCCCAGGGCTACAGAGGGGTGGGTGAGGGGCTCTCCCCGGCTGCTGGTCTCCGAGCTGGGCCTGCACCTGGCACTACCAGGCAGAGACACTGGGACAATGTCACTACCTGCAAAACAAAAGTAAGAATAATAAAAATAAAAATCTAAAGAGCCAGTGATGAGAGGATACCTCAGGGTGGGGTGGCAGCAAGTCACACTCAGGGACGAAGAAGGAAGCCTTGAAGAAATAATGAGTGCCGGAGTCCAGCTTTGCCTCGCGGTATCCCAGACAGCAGGATGGCGCCTCCAAAGAGGTGGGTGGGCCGGGCGGGACTCTGGCCGGCAGTGATTGTGAAGGGGCCAGTGAATGTTCTAACCAAGGGTCTCGGAGCCCCGGAGGCTGCGAGGAGGGAAAGCAGAGGAGAGTTTAGCCCCCGGGGGGGCTCTAGAAAGGTGGCATCCATGGCACTGTGGTGATTTCCAAGCCAAATAGGTTAAGTCCCCACCCCCACCCAGCCCGGATGGCCAGGGTTTCCTTCCCTCTCAGAACTGCCAGCACACAGTCAGGGAGCGTCCTCTAAACTGTCCTTGAGGATCGGGTACCGGAGGGACGCTGAGGGCCAGAGCAGTGGCCGCTGTGGAGGGAGGGCGTGGAGTGAGAGAAGGTAGACAGACACAGAGGCCTCGGGATGCACACCCGGGGCCGCGAACGGGGATCCAGGGCTGAAGGGACAGGGCTCCTCTGCTGGAGTAACAGCTTCGCCCCAGTCCTGCCCAGGGCGTGGAGGGACAGGTCTGCGCAGGGCCCGGGGGCCCGGGGTGGGCCCTCCGTTCCATAGCTGCTGGGAGGGAACCACATTGCCACTTCCTATTGGGCATGGGGTTTTTCAGGCACGGGGTCCAGCCACTGTACTGAGAGGCCTTAGAATGAAATGAGGACTGGCCTGTGGGGCTGAGGAGCAGCTGAGAGCTGATCGCCAAGGGCTGCTTGGTACCAGCCGCACAGGACAGGGCCGAGCAGAGAAGACACCCTGAAGTGAAATCCAGGCCAGATGCCACAGTCCCGATGGGGGTCGGGAAGTCCCCCGAGCTCTCTGGAGACCCCTGCCTCCCAGCCCTGCTTGCTGCCCACTGCCTCCGGCCTCTGCTTTCCTGGCACTGGCCCGGAGGGTGGAGGAGCCACCCCCACCATAATCCTCTGCTTTTTTCTCTCTTTCCATGTGGCTCTAGTCGGAGGAAGCAGAGGTAGTTTTAGGGAAATGAAAGTATAAATTTTTTTATTAAAAAAAATCCTGGCCCAAACTATGCAAAACCGAGTGTAAAATGGACAACTCCCTCTGCTGTCGGTGTGAGTGGTCAGAAGCGTGGACATTAAACAAAGGGGCAGCTGCCACAGGGGACAGGACCTCCGGTCTCCAGCGGCCGCTTGCTCGGCTGATGGGAGTGGGCCCAGGACAGCAAAGTGGGGGTGGGGAGGGGGCCCTCAGTTTTCTCATCAGCACAAAAAGCAGTGTGCAAATCTAGTATCGAAGAGCAGCGTTATGGGGGGCTGAGATAAAAGAGATGTGTCGACTCCACAGGACTGCACACGTGTAAGAAACCTGGAAGGTGCTGCGTCCTCATTTCTTTGGGCTTAGAAAGTCCAGGGCCCTCCCGGACAGCTTTCTGCTTCAATGAGAAGCAGGATTTTAGGCAGATTTGTCCCCATGGGTGAGTGTTTTCTGAGCCCGGGAGGAGGGGCAGGAGCTGTGCTTTGCTCGTGGAATGTGTATTCCTACAGGACTGGAGGTCTTGTCCCCCATGTTCTCCCAGCCCCCGCTGCTAAGCTCTGCAAAGTTATCCATGTAGAGCTGCCTTTCGACCAGTGTCCCCACAGCTGATCTCTCAGTCTGTTCTGACTGATCTCAAGGCACCCGGAGGGCTACAGGGACACGGGAGGCAAGCTGTGGGCCAAGGCTTTGGAGGACTACAGGCAAGAGCTAAATAAAGCCCTGGTGTGTGCCCTGGGAAAGGGTGTAGGCAGAGGGTGTCCAGGAGTCCCTGGGACATTAGTGAGAGCCAGCCTGGAGTGGGGGTTGAGGGACACCCACAGAAAAACAGGCAGAGCATTCTTGGGCCAGAGTGAGAAAAATATTCTGTCTTAGAGCCCGTTCCTGCTCCCAGAGCCACTTCTGAGCCAGCTGCACTCATCTGATGGAAGGCAAAGTTGGATGATGCTTAATGGGACTGGAGTTTAGTCTGGGATCAGGGCTAGGGACAACCTGTAACCAGGATCAAGGCCGTAGGAGTGGGCGCAGGGGTCTGATTTAGGTCAGGGTTATAGGTGAGACTGAGGACTAGATTAGGGCTCAGTCTGGGGCCAGGGTCAGAAGTCCATCAGAGGCAGATGAAAGAACGTCCTCGGATGGACTCCAACTGGCGAAGACGGGTGCTGACCTTCCCATGTCCTGGCTCCCTCCGAAGGACGACCTGCCCCACAGCCCAGCATCCAACCCCTCCACAGCCTGGCCTGCTCCTCTCCTTTTTCCTGAGTACTTTTCAGGACTGGAGAGGAGAGATGGTTCCAATTAGGAAACCCAGCAACTACTGCTGTGGGGCTGTGCTGCCCCCGCGGACCTTCCCCAGCACCCCACTTGGTGACTGGGCAATAATGACTCAGAATGACTTCCCCATGCTCCCTGTCAACGCCCACTGTGCACCTGAACAGCAGAGAACAAAAGTGCGCCAAGCTGTCCCCTGAGGGCAGGGGGTGGAGGAAAGGAAGACAGTGCATTCAGGGGGACTTCTGGGGCCGTGCTGTTGGAGAGCAGACACCTCTCCTGGACTGTGGAAGTCAGTGGCGGGAAGGCAGGTATTACTTGAATTTGTTGGCGACGATTCTTTTTTTGTTGTTGGTTTTGGCAATGATTCTCTAAGCATATGTGCCTTCCTGCGTATGTGTGTGCTCAGTGTTTGCCTGTGCACCTATTTGCATCTCCACAAGGCTGTGTGTCCATCCTTTCACAGATGAATGTCCCCACGGGTGGGTCCCCCAGGGTCATCTTGCCCATTTCATCACCTCAGGGGCCGGCGTGTCCTGTCTGAGGGGGCGGGGAAGGTCAGGCTGGATTCTCCAGCCTTTCCAAAATGACAGGGTCTCCGCAGTTTCTCCCAGCGGGCTCTCAGCCAGCTTCATCTCTAGACGGGGGACTTTGGCCTCCGCATTCCTGGGGGCCCAGGCCAGAGTTGCTGGCCCTGTGAAACTTTCCTGTTGTGAGAGTGTGCCCCAGCTCTCTATTTCTGGGTTCACAGTGGTCCTTACAGGGACTTTGTGAATGTCTGGGCCCCAAGCTGCCTGGGGTGGAAGTCTGAGCCCTTTGGGAGCCTGCAAGCAGGCCCTCTAGGGGGGGATCTCCGCTCTGAACGGAGATTGAGGGAAGGGGGAGCAGGAATAGCTTCCCCCTGCATCTGCAGTACTACAACTGTCCACCAGGTGGGGTTCCAGGGCAGAGAGTGAGAGTCCAGGTGACCCAGCGCCGGGAGCCCGACACCAACTTTAAAACCTGCGCCCGCCACGGCAGCCACGGAAGCGCTCGCACCGGGAGGGGCGGCTCAGACGCTCCCACCTCGGACGCTCACACTCGTTCTCTCCCGGGAAACTCTAAAACAGAACTCCTACTGGGGGCCAAGGGGCGTTCAAAGGGGAGGCTAGTTTCGTTTACGCACACACCGTCTTCCGTTTACACACCGAACTGAAGATGGATACAAGTCGCCCGCTCTGGGAGCGCCCAAGTGACGGCCAGGGTCCGGGGGGCTGGGGAAGCGTGTCGCGCGGGAGAGGGCGCGCCGGGCGCTCGCTGGACGACGGTGGCAGGAGCGCGCACAGCTCCCTGTGTCCCGGACACGCTGGGAGAGAGGCCGAGGACAGACGGATGCAAGGATGCACAGACGCACACACAGACGAACACGCAAACCCTCAGGCACAGCACACACAGCTCCCCGGCGTCGCGCCGGCTCCCGGACACGCCCGCCCGCACACAGGTGCGTCTCCGGCCGCACGCACACCTCCCGCAGGCACGCGCGCGGGGCCCTCTGAGGCCGGCGAGCAGAAGGTGGCCTGTGCTCACCGGGCATGTTTATTTACTCGTTTCTATCAATGAACGTTTGTACCCGACTCCTCCCGTCTCCGGAGGCCGAGGCCACCGCATTTGTCCCCGGCGCGGGACACTCACCGGCGCAACCAACGGGGTTCCTCCGACGCTGCGGGGGGCGGAGGGGGCTACAAAGTTAGGGGGTCTTGGGGTGTCCCAGAGGAGGGGCTGCAGCGTCCGCAGCCCAGGACGCGGAGGGGGACAGGGGAACATCGGGGGCTCGTGGGGTAAGAGCCCGACCCCGGAGGGAGGAGTAGAGGCAGACCGTGCGCTCTGAGGTTCGGGGGCGTTCGTTCGGAGCCGGGCTGGAGGGTCTGGGAGTGGCGAACGGGAGGGCGGAGGGGTCCCTGGAGGAAGGAGCCGGCGTGGTTCCGCAGGACAGGAGCTCGGGACCCTGGGCACCGGTTCGGGGGGCTCTGGCGCCCTTCGCTCGAGGGGCGGTCGGGCCGCGTCCTCAGCTGCTCGGGGGACGGCCCACGCGGGACTGCCCGGGGTGGGAGGAGGGGGCCGAGGACCCGGGAGGGAGGAAAAGGGGGAGGGAAGCGGCCGGGCAGCCAGGCGGGCACAGTGTGAGTGCGCACCGTGCGCGCGTGTGTGTGTCATCTCGCCCGTCTGTAGGTGCCGGGATCCGCGAGACGCCGGCAAGAAGGAAGAGGAGGCGAGAGGTGAACTGAGTTTGATCCTGCGGCGGCCACAAGTGGGTCCCGGGCGGGCGCGGGCGCGGGCGGCGGGCGGCCGGGGCGGGGCGGGCGGCGGCGGGCGCTCACACGCTCGGGCCGCCGGCCTCTCACCACGCCTCCGGCTTTGTGCGCGCGCCGTGGAGGGGGGGTGGCTGGCGGAGCGCCCACGGCGGAGCCTCCCGCCTCTATATAAACACACGCATCGCCTGGCTTTGGACTCAAATTCACATTGAGAGAAGCTTTTAAAACCACCAGCCCTGAAATCCTGCCTCCTGCTTTCCCCCCTCTTTCATTCCTTTCGCCTTCCTTTTCTTTTTCCCCCTTTCTTCCCCCAGCAGCAACTCCAGAGCCGAGAGCCTGCGTCCCGGGACCGACTGCCTTTTCTTAATTGATACAATAGCCCAGCTCGGGTTTTCACCTCCTCCCCCAACCCCACCCCGCCTCACCCCTCCCGCCGCCGCCGCCGCCGCCGCCCCAGCGCTCGCCCGGGGCTCTGTCGCCGGCCGCGTCCCATCCCGGCCGCGGTCCGCCGGCTCCGCGCTCGCGCTCCGGCAGCCGCGCCGCCTCGTCCGCTCGGCCCGCTGCGGGGGTGCGGCGGCCGCTCGGGGGCTCAGGCGCGCCGCCCCGGGCAGCCCGGGACGCTGGGCTCCGGCCTCTCCGCTCGCCTCGGCTGGGGAGTCTTCCCCCGCGGCCCCCCAAGTTCCTGGGTTCGTTGGAATTTTTGGATTCAGGGTACTTCCCCCTTTTTTTCCACCTAGGAATTTGAGGGGGAAACTTTTGACCAGTCCATCGCACTTTCTTTCCGCTACCTCTCTTCCCCTCCCCGCCTTTTTTTTTTTTTCCTGAGCAGGGGAAGGGGCTTACAAGAGAGGCTCCCGCTGGACAAAGTTTTCCAAAGTTTTCCGAGTGTGATGGTTGCGGGGAGAGCTAGTCCACCGGCTTGACTCACGGCTTCATCTCACCGCCCCTCGAGCAGCCCCTAAGTCCGCTATAAGGGAACAAACAAACAAACAAACAAACAAAGTTACACTCCGAGTCGCCTCGTGTCTCCTCTCTCTCTTCTAGGCATTTTTTTTCCTCCCGCTCTCCGCTCCCCTCGAAGCCTCCACTCCCCTTCCCTCGGCCCCCTTCCTTCTTTTCTGTTTCGGCTGGAGGTGCCAGGACCCCCGGCCGCAGTCTCCCCTCCCCCGCCGCTCGCGTCCCTTGTCGCCCGGCCCTCCCCTCCCCCGACGCGGCCGGCACAGCCAATCCCCCGAGCGGCCGCCAACATGCTCTTTGAGGGCTTGGAGCTGGTGTCGGCGCTGGCCACCCTCGCCGCGTGCCTGGTGTCGGTGACGCTGCTGCTGGCCGTGTCGCAGCAGCTGTGGCAGCTGCGCTGGGCTGCCACTCGCGACAAGAGCTGCAAGCTGCCCATCCCCAAGGGCTCCATGGGCTTCCCGCTCATCGGAGAGACCGGCCACTGGCTGCTACAGGTAAGGGCGCGCTCGCTCCGCTGCTCTCCCGGGTCCGCTAGCGACGAGCGCGGGGCAGAGGCTGCCGCGGGCCGGCCAGGGGGCGCCGGGAGCCTGGAGGCACTGATCCCCGCCCCGCCCCTTCCCTCCTATCTCCCTGCGCCTCCCCGGCTTCCCCCGTCCGCCTGCGGCGTGGTTCGGAACCCACTGGCGCGCGGCGCGCAAGTCCAGGGACCGATCAGCGAGGTCCAAGGACCTCGGAGGGCTCCGGAGACGGACTCTGAGTCTCAGGCTACTCGGCAGGGGTGTGTGGGTCGCCTGTCCCTTTGCCCTGCAGGCCCCAGCCGCCTTCGGCTTCCAGGGCTTTGGCGGTGCCATTGGGACCCGAACATTGAGTCGGGAAGAGGAGGAGGGGGCCAATGGCAGCCAAAACTGCCTAGTTAAGCCCCGGGCTGTGTTCCCGCCGCGTCGTCGGTGCGCCAGGTACAACTGCCCTGGGCCACGGTCCGAGAAAGCCTGCGTGTTTTGTGGTGGGAGAGGAAGGAGGTGACCCAAGGAAAGTGGGAAGCCCGAGACCCGAGGGTTCTCTGCTTTCGGGGAAAAGGGTCTATTTACTTACTGGGTGAGGACAGTGTAGCAGGGGAGAGAACGCTTAGGAAAGGCGTGTGTGGGTTCCTTAGAGGGCGTATGCGTTTGTTGTTGGACGCCGAACAACCCAACGCTGCTGGAGAGAATGGGGCTGGGCCAGTCGGAGACCCGACCCAGGTAGGTAATAGGGAAGTTAACCTGGAATTAAACACGTCGAGTGCTAGACAGCCGCTTTTGCAACTTCACACACCTCAGGTTTTTTCTTGGGAGGGCATCTTCGCGAGTTTACCGCGAGAGGTGTGTTGTGCGCGCGTGTGCGCGGGTGTCTGTCGGGCGGACGCGGAGGAGGGTTAGGAGAACGACGGAGGTCCTGGAACGGACATCCCCGGCGGGCGGAGGTGAGGCGGGCGCTGAACGCCGAGAGCTGTGGGTTTGGAAGTGCGAAAGCTTGGCTTGAAATTAACAGACGCGTGCAATCCACTCGCACACACTTACATCCCGCTGGGCGCCAAGTGTCATCGGATCCGAGGCGGGGAAGGGGACGCGCGGTTCCTCTGCCCTGAGGTCATCTCGAGTCCCAGAATCAGCCCATTTCTTGCGGGGGGGGGGTTCTTCGTGTAACTGTGTAGGGTTCGCTTTAACCCCCCGCCCGTAAAGAAATCCCCAGAGCCTATCTGGTACCACCACACTTAAAGGGTTAACTGCAGCGGTGGTCTAGGCTTTTGGCCGAGAATTTAGGAAATAAAATAACTCACATGGGCACCGACTCCTGCCTCGTTAGAGCCAATCTGCGGAATCCGCGGTCTGTCACCGCTCCCCCCCCCCGTTTCCTGACCTTTCTCTGCCCCCCCTCGGTGTCCCCCTGACCTTTTCTCCGAATCCCACAAGGGCCCTTGGGGCTCAGCGTCCAACCCGCGCGGAAGATGAGGAGGAGGAAGCAGGCCTACGCCTCTCCATCCATTTGCCCTTGGGGCCCCAGACTCTGGGGTGGGAGGGAAATGGGGGTGGGGGGGATGCGTGCGGAGGGGCGCTGAAGGGGTTAACGGGAGCCTTCTGAATCCAGCTTTATTTTTTCGGAGTCATTTATCAGATTTTACGGGGGACCTCCAAGGGCTCTCCGCTTCCACCGTGCGCCATCTAAACAGAGCCCAGGGCTAAAAATACAACATTTTTGTATAAATTGGACTCGCGGCCCGAGCGGCCGCCCCTATGAAAGTCCTCTTTGTGAAGACCGTGGAAACGGCGGACAAATAACTCTTTATTAATGCCACAAAAAACGCACTTTAATTATAGTTAGGCAGATCAGAGGCGGGGAGGGGGGGCGGGAGAGAGGCGGCGGCGACCTCGGAAAATTCACAGCCCAACTTTTGTGTCGAAAGAAAAGAAAAACAGAGGAAAAGAAGGAGAGGAGAGACGGAGGGTCAGACTGAGCGAGCGAGACGGGTATTGCAGACAGAGGGAGGGAACCCCGCTCCTTAGCCCCCCTCCCCGTTTGTCGCACCTCCACCCGCTCCTAGATTTCTCTTAAAGGGGTAGAGACGCCGTCTAGATCGGCGGCGGGGCGGGGGTTGTTCTCCCCGACCCGCCAACCTGGGAGCGGGGCGGCGTCCCCGCGGCCCAGCCCCCCTCCCCGAGGCGCGGGCGCTCCAGGCTCGCTCCCTGTCGCGCGCCGGGCCGGAGGCGCATGTGGAAAAGTGATTAGTACTCCGGGTTCTGCAGGGTCACTTTTCGGCAGTGCCTGGGTGTGTGCACATCTAGCCGGAGAATACTTTTCCGTGGAAGAAAGGAAAATGAGGAGCGGGACTAGCCCGGGAAGGAGGGAAGACGAGCTGTCCCTTTGCGGGGCAGGACCCGGGAGGTCCGAAGCCCGCATTCGCACTGCTCTTGGCCTGCGGGCCGGACAGCCGCACAGGTGGCGCCTCTCCCCCTTCACACCCAGTGCTGCCCCGGCAGGAGAAGGGTTAATGTGGGGTGGGGTAGCCAGCGCCTACGTCAAAGGTGAGCGGGACGCCCCTGCCCCCGCCTCTCGGAGGTCCCCTCGGTTTCCGGTGCCCTGGCGGGGCCGGCCCAGCCTGCGCCTCCGCGCGCCGGGCCCGGGCCGGGGCCTAGCTCTCCCCGGCTGGAGCCGCCGCTGCGGCTGCCCGGGATCCGGTTACTTGCGACGGCCGCTCTACCCAGCCGGGCCCCGCCCCGCGGGAAGCTCCTTCCTTCGCCCTCCCCTTCCAAACTTAAGGGCGGCGACGAAAGTACTTCTCAGTTATTTCCAGGGCCAACTGCATTAGGGAAATCTCGGCTCCCAGATCGTGACTGACTAGAGCCCGCAGCGGTCCACCGGGTTCCTTGGAGGTCCGCATTCGATAACCGAGGAAACCCTCGCCCCCATCTGTAGTGACTGCCTACGGGCACCGACCGTGCACCGCTATAAATACTCTTTGGCCTGCGGCCACCCCGAGGGGTCCTGCCAGCCTGTGGCCAGGAGCCTGGAAATATTTATTCCGCAAGGCTTTGGAGCGCGAGGCGGAGGAGTTGGGGGTGGTAAGGAGGGTGGCGCAAGCTCTAGCTTCGGCTCCCGCCGACCTGGATACCTTTTCCCTCCTGCAAGTTGTTCCTTAAAAACAGCCTCTCGCGAGGTGCCCCCGGGCCTCCCGCCTCCTTGTGTTAATTACCCTCTGGGCCCTACTTCTCGGTTCTTGTGCATGCTATGAAAAATAAAACCTCCGTGCGTGTTCGTGTGTGGGGTGGGGGCTGGGGACTGGTGCCCCGGGTGGTGTCCTCCACCCTTCCGCCGCGGGCCCTCGAGGCCGAGCCTCCGGAAAGTCGCATCCGGAGGTCGCAGACCTGTGCCCTGAGAGAGGTCCCCTGTGTGGCTCCCGCAGGGTTCGGGCTTCCAGTCGTCACGGAGGGAGAAGTACGGCAACGTGTTCAAGACGCACTTGCTGGGGCGGCCGCTGATCCGCGTGACAGGCGCGGAGAACGTCCGCAAGATCCTCATGGGTGAGCACCACCTCGTGAGCACCGAATGGCCGCGCAGCACGCGCATGCTGCTGGGCCCGAACACAGTGGCCAACTCCATCGGAGACATCCACCGCAACAAGCGCAAGGTAAGCGCTCTGGACCTAGAGCCTAGTAACCGTGCTCTGACCCTCTCCTTCCGTGCACCCCCTTGGGGTAAGGAGTTCTTGGAGCCCTGGGGCCGTCTCCACCCGAATCTCTTCTCCCACTTGCACAGCGTCCTGAAGGGTCCCTGCCTAGACGGCTGCGATCCCGGATCCAGGGCCTGCATAGGCCCCCTCCCGGTCGGCCCTCATTCTGGCCCCCTGCCGGTCCAACGGGTGACTGTTTGAGAGCATGGACAGGAGGGTACTTGAGGCCTCTAACGCCTGTCCTCACCATGCACCCCAAAACTGGAAAAAGAAGGGGGCGGAAGGTGGATGGCGCTTCTTTTTTGCCATGTTCCCCCACCCCCACCCCACCCCCGGAATTCCGACTGATCAGTCTAAAATCAAACCTGGCCTTCCTGCCACAGGTTGCTTTAATGGAGACGCGGGGTAGGCGTGGGGGGCCGGGGGCACCTTGTGGGCAGCGGTTGCACGGCCCTGTCTGAGAGGGGTGAAGTGAATTTGGACCACTGTGCGCAGGGGTCTGGTGGTGGGGGAAGGGCGAGGGGTCGGAGAGCCGCCGCGGCGCGGCAGGGGATCAAAGCGCACCTACCCACTCCCATAAAGAGGAAGAGAAAGTGGGTGTTTATCCTGTGGATTTCCCGAGCGCCTGGAAGAGGCGAGAATGAGGAGAGCCAGCGCGCACGACTCGAGCCTCCCCGCCCCCTCCTAGGGCTGAGCCTCAGCGGCGGCAGCCGCTGGGGCTCAGAGCGCCGGCGGCACGTGCTGTTTGAACTGCAGTAACCCGAAAGCTGAGCCGCAGGCGGGCGGGCGGGGAGCGGGCCTGTGGGCTTAAAGCGTCCAGAAAGGGGTGGAGGGGAGACTGCAGGACCTCTCCTCGTTCCATTTTTTCCATTGGGTCAGAGGACTCGCCCAGGTTTGAAACCTGAAGAAAACTGAGAGGCAGCCTTCGATATGTAGGAAGAGTGGCAAAGCCCAGGAGAGGGGAGGGGGCTACTGTGGGCAGCCCCCTTCTGCCAGAAGCCTGCACTTGAGGTGTTCTCTGGGAACGAAGGAATCCATTTTATAGTATTTGATGCCTGTGAAGAGTAGTTCTCCGTAGCAGACAAAAGGAAGAAAAACCGCATGGAGTGGACTGGTCTGCGCATAACCACGACGCCCCTCCTCCCAATAAAACCTGTATTCAGGGACTGGAAAGGGGGTCCTAAAATTGTCTCCCTTACCCGCCTCACTGGAGCAGGAAGCAGCTAACAGGGCCGGGGGGGGGGCAGATGGGGGTATTTGGGGAAGTGGCTGGAAGGGGGCTTATAGGCTCAGGAATGGGGGCTTTTCAAATATCCTGGCCACTTTTTTTTCCCCTTAGTCTTTGTGACTTCACCGAAAGATCATACCAAAGAATGAGGAGAGAGCCTGAGATCAGAAACGAGCTCCAAAGAATGTGATTGCTTCTCATTATATCTTTATAGAGGCTTTGACAAGAAAGTAGTCACTTTCTCCTTCTCACAGAAGGGAACATTGAGACTCATAGAGGTTGAGAGACTCCAAATCAGGAGACAAAGCAAAGGCAGGAGCCTTCCACATTCCTCCATGGGAGGGAATCTTTCTGGGCCACCTAGCAGAGCAGTGCTCAGTCCTGCCAACCCTGGGGCTGCCAGAAGTCAGCGGGTAGGGTAAGAGCGGTTGCTGGGAAGAAGAAGGCTAGGTCAAGACCTGAGCGTGAGATCCTGGGGGTGCAGACCCTGAGTGAGGCTCTTGCCTTATGGTTCCCCCCACCCTCTTCCTGACTTGGCTTTGGGCCTCCAGGTAGGGAGGGCCTGCTGGAAAGGCCTCAGGGTTTTGGTCTACCTTGTTCGTTTGGGAGGAGCAGAGGAGCAGGGAGATAGCAGAGATGATCTGTGTCAGAGAGATGCACAGGGAAGGGGGAGGGAGCGCTGGGGTGAGGCTAGAAACCGAGGACCCCAGTGGGGCACAGCTGGGGGACACTTGCCCTCTAGGTCCCTGGGCACAGGGCGCAGCCGGCACACTTACAGTTCATCCTGACACAGGCTTGAACCGCGGTCCAGGGCCCTCCCTTCATGTGTGCTGGTGTGTGTTTGCTCTGTGATCTGTGTGAAAGGATCCTGCCTTCAAATCTCTCTAATGGTGTTCCACGAACTTAAGTTTACTGAACTAAATTGAAGTCCTTGGGTTAGGGACAAACATAAGAGCAGGACATTTGGTCCTTGCCCTTAGGAGAGTGCTCAGGAGCATATCCTGGTCCTAGAGAGAATGGCCCATCTGCCGGACCGATGTGGCTGGGGTGGGGCTGCCCAGTGCCACTCACGCTGCCTTACCCAGCCTGTGCTGCAGTTGGGCCTGGTTAGGGTGCGTTCACAGGACTCGAGGCCCAGGTGTGCTGGGGCCCAGCTGGCAGGGGAACTAGGAGCGTCGCTGTTTCCATTGGGGCTGGTGACCCACCCCTTCTCTGGGGGGCCTGATCAAATGTCCTGGGAAGGGGCTTCTCACAGCCATCTCTGCATCCAGGTGTTTGCCCTGGCTGCCCTGGTTGTCTAGGGACAAGAGGAGGGGGTTGCCAGGGAGAAAGTTTAGAAAGTCTTGCCCAGTCTAAAAGAGTCCACTCCAGAAGCCAGGCTTATGTCTCCACAGCTACCACCAAACCCTGTGCCACTTCCTTTGTTACCCCTCCCCACGGGGTGGCGCTGGGAGAAGGACCCCCAACCCTTTTCTTTTCGAGTGCAGAGAGGCTGGAGTGCTGTCCTGGAAGGGTGTGTGGAGTCTCGTAAGGGTGATGGAGGGGAAGATTGTCAGACATGGAGAAGAAGTTGGGGGTACTTCTTGAGGCCTCTGTGCCTGCCCCACATACCAGGATCAGACATTTCCTATTTCCCTTGAGAGACTGGACTGGGCCTCTTTGCACCAAGAGGCCAGATGCTTCGAGGCACCTCAGCCAGTGGCCTGGGACCCATGGACCAGGGAGACCCAGGAGTGGTCCTCCTGCCCCTCCTACCCAGATCCCTGGCTGTAAGGACTTCTGTGCAAGGCTGAGGTGGAGCAAGAGCTCCCCAGGCTTTGGAGGCAGGGATTGAGACCCACCAACCATGGCTCCCTGACCTGGCCTTTGGACCCCATCCTGGGCGGGGATGGAGCATAGGCTCAGGATCACTGCTCTCCCCTCAGAAACCCTGTGCATCCTGGGGTTTATGTTGGGCTGGAGAGGCTTCAGCAGGCGGGCAGACCCAGGAGGCCTGTGGTTGCAGGATTCTAGGGAGGCCAGCCAGGGCTATCTGTAGGTGGCCTTTGGACTGGTGCATAGCCTCTGATTTCAGTCATGTCCACCAGGCTCAGCTGTGGCAGAAGTTCCCACCTGCACTGAATGGGAAGGCTGGTGGCATGGCCAGGCAGCCCTGTTCCTGGGAGGGCCCCTGGCATAGACCTTTGTTCCCCCAGCTGAAGCCCTTCATCCGAAAGTTACTGTAGCACCAGCTGGTGGGCCTGGGGCCACTGAGGGGGCAGATGACAGGAGCGGATGTCTCTGAAGGTCAGTGGGGGAGGGAGCCCACAGCCAGCCGCCAGGGCGCCTGGGATGGGTGCCTCCCTCTGTAAGCCCTCATGACACACAGTGGGAGGGTGGGTTGGGTGGAAGGGGGACCACCCCACCCTTTTTCCTTCTTTCTGTGTCCTTCTCTTAGGGTGGGGAGGGGTCTGAGCCTGAGATGCTGATGTGTTTGCTCACTCTCCCAGCCTTGGGAGACATCTGTGGCCTTGGTGGTGGTGGAACAGTGATTGGCTGGCATCTGCTTTGGCCAGGAGCCCCTTTCGCCACTGATGTATCCATTCCAGGTTCCCGAGGCAGAAAAGCAGGGGTTGGGGATGTGTCTCCTGGGGCTGAGAAATGCTGAAAGAAAACAGCAAGCCAGGACATCTGGCCTTGCCCTTAGAATAAACTTGGGCCAGACAACAGGGTCCCCCTCAGGGCTCAGAGCCCCCAGGATGGGCGGACGGCCTCTTGACTGGGCCAGGAGCAATGGAGGCAGGGCATTCAGAGATCTGGTGGGCGTGGCCAGTCGTGCCCTGGACCGTGACCTTAGGCAGCTCTCCCTCTTTGGTCCCCAGCTTTTTCAGGGGGTTTTACTAGGGCTGGAAGAAGAATGAATGGGCAAAGTTTTTTGGATTCCAGGGCTCTGCCAAGTACTGTCCTCCTCACCTGCACCCGGTGCTTTTGTTGTGTGTGGAAGTTGGGGGAGACTGTTAGAACTGGAGGCCAGTGGGGAACAGGTACTGTTTCTACAGGTGGTGGCGGGGGAACCCAGAGAGGCTCACGCAGGCTGGGAGGTCTGGGCCAGCCTCTCCCAACCAGGGACGCAAAGTAGAGACTGGCTCAGGAGGCGGCCAGGGTGAAGTCGAGGCCCACTGGAAATGCCAGACAGCTGGGAAGATGACGTCTCTCTTGTCCTCCCTCTTACTTGAGTATAAAGTACACACCTTGGCGTCACCCCTGTGCTGTGCGGACAGCTGCCTTGGTGGCTGCCTGCCCTCTGTTATTCTTTCCACTCCTTTCCACTCCGCAGGCCACGGCTCCGGTGGCTTGGCGGGGTGGCCTGCCCAGGCCCCCACCCTCCTGGGCAGCTGCTTCCATTCCTGCCAGTCTGAGTCACTGGCCCAGGGAGTGGGTTCCCTCTCTGGCTCTTTCAGCTCCTGAGGCTGCCCAATCATCTCATCTGTCTGTCCATCCACAATGGCCAGCAGAAAAGGGGAGGCTGTCTGGCTGCCCAGGTCAGCAGTGTGCAGGACCGCGGGTGCTCAGCGAAAGACTCCCCAGCCAGGGCCGCTGGGTGGGCAGCAGGGGGTGTGGGAGGGGGAGGGAGAAGGATTTGTGAAAACAATTATAGAGAACTTGAGCCTGGACAAGCCCCTTGGTGGTCCCCTCTCTCTTCCCTTCCCTCCTCATTGTGGAATCATCTCCCATTCGGGGGAGAGAGATTTAGGCTCTTGAGCCAGGAGTGTCCGTTGGTGAAACCAACACAGGTAGGGGGCGGTTTCCTTGCGCATCCTAAAGGCAGGAAGAGCCCAAGCTGCCCCGCCTGTGCCTGTGAGTCCCCTGGTCTCCCAGACCCTCTGCTCTCATTTCCCCCAGCACTAACCCTGATGGAAAGTCCGTACCTGCTGCTCCCTCTGCGGGGCTTTTCCTGGGCCAGGGCTGCTTCCCGATGACCTTTGTCCAGCATTCTTGTCTCACTTTTGGGAATTCCAAGGGACGCCCCCAGTGGGGAACAAAAACAGCCCTGGCTCCTGTTACTACTGCGGTCAGGGAAGGCGGCTCCGGGGACAGGAATCTTTCCCCTCTTCACTGAGTGGCTCCACAGGGCGCCTTCCCACGTGCCCGAATCCTGACCCCGCCCGCCCCAGCGCAGCCTCCCTCGCCCCCCCCCCAGCACCTCCGCCTCCTCCGGGCCTGTGTGGTGGGCGGTGGTTTCTAGGCTGCCCCTACTTCGGGAAGTGCCCAAGCTGTTAACCCTGGGCACAGACCCAAGGATGAGGGCCTGGAGTTCTCCCAGCGCCTGGGAGGCCCCAGTGCTTAAGCTCTCTCCTGGGCCAGAGGCAGGGCACGGGCCTGGTGACTTCTGAGCAAAGCACCTTGGTCCCGGAGTGCCCCAAATCTGCCTTTATTTGGCTTCTCATTTGGGTAGTTTTCTTCTTCAGGGGGGGCTCTGAGGAGACTCATGGGACATCCAGGTGAAAAGAGACTCCAGAGAACACCCAGTTAGATTTCCTGAGGGGTCAAGATTAGAGCCTTGCTCCTGGCTGCAGTTCTCTTTTGAGAAGCCCCAGCCGCGGGGGACCTGCAGGTCCAAGGTGTGGGTGGGCTTCTTGGGGACATTTCGGCTTCTTACTTTGCTCAGGATCCCTTCCCATCTAGAGGTGAGGTGTGGACCACCCACCCTGGGAGTTCCTCTGCTCAGTCCCTCGGCTCCTTGCATCCTCCCTGCCCTCCTGGCTCTTGGCCCAGGGCTTTAGAAGGAGCTATTCAGGTGGCTATCGCTAGAGGGCGCAGGGAATGTAACCTTTAGGTCAGGAGGGCAGGGAAGGGCTTGTCAGTGGGTCCAGTCTGGCCACTCCTGGGATTGCACTGGGGTCCCTAAGAGCTCCCCCTTTGGTCACCCTGAGGTGGCTCCTCCGGGGCCACCGTAGCCCATGTAGGGTGTGTGAGGGGGGGTCTGGCAGGCACTTACCAGGCAGCTGGTGCAGTGCCGGCTTCCAGGCTTCTTCGAGGGGATACAGCATCTTCTTAGGGACATAGGACACTGGTGTTTGTGTGCTGTATACACTGAAAGGAGAAAGAGGTGGCCTGGCTCGGCCTCACCTTTTTATAGATGAGGAAACTGAGGCTGGTGGGTGACTTGGTCACTGGGGCTGAAACTCCTGTATCTGAGCACCCAGCCATTCTTGCCCACACCTCACTGCATCTTAGAGCCCAGCGGGCGTGGACTTGACCAGTTCTGGTCAGTGTGGCCTTGACCCTATGACCCCCTCTACATGCCCACCTGTGGGCTCAGGTCTCCCTTGTGCTGGGGGTCCTGACCAACCCTTGCCCTCCATGGCAATACCCTTCAGTCTCCGTTGGGCTGGCTGACTCTGGGCCAGGTGTGGCCTCCCCGTCCCTGCTTCTGCCCACCTCCAGCTTCTGCCCCCCCCCCCACCCCAGGCCTGGTAGCCACTGTTATCTTTCTGCTTCCCTGATGATAAGCCTGCTGGGCTCCCACACACTGCTCTCCGCTTGCTCTGTGGGCCCTTTACTGCTCTGTAAGGCCCCTCAGTTGTCCGGTGTTGGGTTCTGGGGACAGGGCTCCCACTCCTAACCTGTAAGAATTTTTGACCAAGAGCTAAAACTGGAATCCTAAGGACACCAGGGTGGCGGGCTGAGAACACTGCCTTTATCCATCACCCGTGGAGGGAGGTGGCAGCTGAAGTCCCCCTGGAAATTCCCTGGACCCTGAACTGAGCAAGGTGTGAGTGACCGGTCCAGGCCTAAGCTGCCTTTGGCCACCTCCCATCATCCTTCTTCCTCTCAGCAGTCCCCGAGTAGCAGGAGCAGCCCCAAACAGTGTGGCTTCTTTGCCCCTCACCGGCGGCCTCCCTCCCTCCCTCCCTCTGCCCACCGGGAATTTCGGAATGAAAGTGCTATTGTGAATGCCTGGCTGGGCCACTGAAGGGCCAGCACTGTTATTTCTGCAAACCAGCCCTCCCATTAGCCATGCAGGGCCGAGGCCAGGAAAATGTTACCTTTTCCTCCTCGAGCTGACTGCAGGGGAAATTCTCACATTTACAGTTTGTGCGGTGGTTGTGTTTGGGGGGCAGGAGGGGAGGGTGGGCGCGTGTGTGTGGTTTGCATGGAGCAGGGTGGAGGGGCTGGAGGAATATTCGTCCCCTTCCCCTGTGCTACCCCTCGCCCTCCCTTCCCCATGACCTTCCTTTCCCTTGGTGCTGGTGGGAGGGTACCCCCCCTTCTGCTCCAGACTCCGGAGGTGGGAGCGGCCAGGGGTTGTTGGTTACAAGTGAGACCCACAGGCCATCAGTAAATAAACTAACACCCTCCCCTCTCCTACACACCAGGGCAGCAGCGTGGGTGCTGGGGCACGTGGGCGAGAGGGGCAGGAGGGGTTGCTGCGGGGTCAGGAGGTCTCAGAGCAGGGGAGTGGGCAACAGGGACTCACTGGCTACTTGAAATGGACCAGGAAGATGCAAGGAATTAAAAGGGCTTCTGTTTACCTTTGTGATCTTTTGGGGTGGAAATTCTTGTCCCCTTCCTCCTGCTTCCAGACCTGGCCACACTAAAGACATTTTTTGATGGCGCAGCTGTTAACAAACTCCTTAGGATCCTCACCTAGTAGATGGTTCCCAGGGAGTGAGAGCACATTTGGGTCTCAGGAAGTCCTACTTGCAGTCTAGCCCCAGTCTCTCTTGTTCTCCCATTAGTGGACTAGAAGAGCCACCTACTGCTATCTTCCTTCTCCATATCCAGTCTGCTCACCTTTGTTCTGCTCCTGCTGGGCACTTCTCCCTATGGCCTGGGAATTCGGGGGTGGGCCACGGCAGTGGAGGGCTGCATCCCCCCAGCCCTGCCCAGCCCTCTCTGTGTGGTCCCCATAGCTGGTAAGGACAGCCACGTCACCCACAGACCTGTTGGCAGCTGGACTGCCCAGTCCGTAGGGCTCTGCTGGTGTTTGGAGCACAAGCTTTTCTGAGGGTCAGGACGGAAGCGGGTAGCTCAGGTCACCCTGTGAGTGTCTAGGAGACGGGAGCAGGAGCTCCATCAGGGCGAGGACCTGGAGTTCTCCCTGCTCACAGCCGTGGGACCTCTGCCTCAGCCAGGGCCCCGGGATCCTTGAGGGCAGCCCGAGCCCATCTGACCAGCTTGCCCGCTTCTCCGCCCTCCAGATATTCTCCAAGATCTTCAGCCACGAGGCTCTGGAGAGCTACCTGCCCAAGATCCAGCTGGTGATCCAGGACACGCTGCGTGCCTGGAGCAGCCGCCCCGAGGCCATCAATGTGTACCAGGAGGCACAGAAGCTCACCTTCCGCATGGCCATCCGCGTCCTCCTGGGCTTCAGCATCCCCGAAGAGGACCTCGGGCACCTCTTCGGGGTCTACCAGCAGTTTGTGGAGAACGTGTTCTCCCTGCCTGTCGACTTGCCCTTCAGTGGCTACCGGCGGGTGAGTGCCCAGGGCCTGAGAGGAGAGGAGGTGGGCATTCATGGACCACCCTGAGGGAGGAGCGACTAGTCACACAGAGGGGAGCGTCAGCAGGAGGGTGGGGCGGAGGCTTCACCTGGTGCTCTCTGGCTGAAGGAAGCCCCTGCCCCGCCCCACCTTGGGAGAGAGGAGGCCCTTGCTGGTCCTGCCTTTCCTCTCGAGTGACCGGGTGGTGCCCTTCTCCCCACAGGGCATTCAGGCACGACAGACCCTGCAGAAGGGCCTGGAAAAGGCCATCCGGGAGAAACTACAGTGCACGCAGGGCAAGGACTACTCAGACGCACTGGACATCCTCATTGAGAGCAGCAAGGAGCACGGGAAGGAGATGACCATGCAGGAGCTGAAGGTGGGAGCGCCTGGGGGGCCGCACGAGTGCCTGGTGCTCCACACTGGGGCTGCCCCCCGGGGGGATGGGGCCAGCCCCTCCTCCCTGGTTCCTGACACGGGGTCCATTGGTTTGTCCTGGTTTAGACTCTGCCCTCCACACACTTGCCAGGCGCCAGCAGAGCCTGACGGCCAACTCCCCACCCTCCATCTTTGCTTCCCCCTCTTCTAGCTACAGTTATCTGTTTTTTTCCTGGTGAGCCAAGAAGGAGCCCAGATGGTTGCCATTTCATGAGAAGGTTGACTCACCATGGCAAGGAAGGGACCCAGGTCCCTTCACTGCTCTCTGAGCTTGGCATCCACATTTGTGAAATGCGGGGCTTAGCATGAGATGGCCTGCTGAGGCCTTTCCATGGGGCGCCCATGGCCCAGGTGTCTTGCTCCCCAGGGCGTCCTGGAGGAGTCCCCTCAACTTTCTCACTGCAGTCCCATCCCAGGTCCCTGTGGGTATGGCCCCAGGCCCCACTGCCTCCCAAATCCTGATGTCCTCCTGGGAATGAGAAGGTTGGGGTTGCGACCTGAACCCCAACCCTACTCACCTACGTAGTGCCTGGCTCCTTGGGATTTTTTCTTTTTCGGTGAGCAACCCGCACTGATGAGGCTGCCGGGGCTCCCTGCTCTGGAATCCAGCAGTGAGTGAGAAACGGCCCAGCCCCGGGACACTTGCAGGCCGGTGCCTCTGCCCTTGGCTGTGGCAGCTGCATCTGCTGCCCAGTCAGGGCACTGACCCTCTGACTTGTGTCCACTGTGGCCCAAATACCACAGTGACAAGAGGTTTGAAGGAAGCAGGCAGGACCCAGCTAGATGGCCCTAGGGTCATGGGGGACCCTGGCAGAGTGAGGTGGCCCCCAGGCCAGGCCTGCCATGGAGCTGATCCATAACGGTGCCCTTCTCTGTGCTGCAGGACGGGACTCTGGAGCTGATCTTCGCTGCCTACGCCACCACGGCCAGCGCCAGCACGTCGCTCATCATGCAGCTGCTGAAGCACCCGGCTGTGCTGGAGAAGCTTCGGGAGGAGCTGCGGGCCCACGGCCTCCTGCACAGTGGCGGCTGCCCCTGCGAGGGTACGCTGCGTCTCAACACCCTCAGCGGCCTGCACTACCTGGACTGCGTCATCAAGGAGGTCATGCGCCTCTTCACGCCCATTTCTGGCGGCTACCGCACCGTCCTGCAGACCTTCGAGCTCGACGTGAGGCTGGGTCCTCGGGGCGAGGCCTCAAGGGGCCCATGGGAGCACTGGCTTGGGTGTGGGGGGCTGCGGATGGGAAACACCAGAATTCCCCCAGGGTACCTCATCTGATGGGGAGACACCCCTGTTTTTCAGTCCAATGGGAAAGACCCATTCCCAAATGCTGAGTAAGATGAAGCCAGTCCATGTGTCATGTATGAAGTTACATGTGGACACTCTGTAAAATAAGAGACTGGACTAACATGTTGAGGGCTGCTGGCAAGGCCTGGGGACCACAGTAGGGTGTCTCTAGGAACATCTGGGTGGGGGGCTGGCAGTCCTGGGCCCTCTCCGGTCCTCTGGCCCTCACCACCCCCTTCCTCCAATCCTGTCTCCAGGGTTTCCAGATCCCCAAAGGATGGAGTGTCATGTACAGCATCCGGGATACTCATGACACAGCTCCTGTGTTCAAAGACGTGAACGTATTTGACCCTGACCGCTTCGGTCAGGCTCGGAGCGAAGACAAGGACGGCCGATTCCACTACCTCCCTTTCGGCGGCGGTGTCCGGACCTGCCTGGGCAAGCACCTGGCCAAGCTGTTCCTGAAGGTGCTGGCGGTGGAGCTGGCCAGCACGAGCCGCTTTGAGCTGGCCACCCGGACCTTTCCCCGAATCACCTTGGTCCCTGTCCTGCACCCCGTGGATGGCCTCAGTGTCAAGTTTTTTGGCCTGGACTCCAACCAGAACAAGATCCTGCCAGAGACGGAGGCCATGCTGAGTGCCACAGTCTAACAGGGCCTGGCCCATACCCCCCGCCTCAGCCCGGCCAGGCCCTGGGGTGGGAGGCAACTAAGGGTAGAAACCTGTGTGTGGGAGGGGCTGGAGCCTGCGGAAGGAGAAGCAGCCCCATACCTTGCCCTCCCATTTTTCTTTCCCTGGCAAACCCTACCCAAAGCCAAAAGGGTCTCCGTTTTTCTGGGGCACTGATGGGGGCCCTCCTGGCTCCTGCTTCTCCCAGTCTCTCTCCAGTCTCCACCAGCTTAGCTCCTGGGACAGAGCATGGCCGGGGGCTCCTCATGCCCATTACAGTGTTAAACGTCAGTCAGCTCACGCTGAAGCATTTGCTTATGATGTTCCCGATTGGTCCCTCCCCTCCCATTTCATTTGGACCCTTGTAGTTTGAGGTCAAGTAGTTGACATGGGGGGTGGAAGGAAGAGTTGGCCCCTGCAGCACCCCTCCCCCTCCTGCCTCTGCTCGGACTGAGGCAGGTTCCCCTCCCAGCGTTGGCAGGATGGAGGAGCAACCTCCTGATGCAGAGCACGCATCACCCTTGGTGGGGGTGGGGACTCGGGCCAGCCTACAGGGGTCCCATCCCCGTTGCCAGTTTGGACATTTGAAATTACCTGTTGCTGCTACTTTTTCTTTCCTCTGGTGCTGGGACAAGGGAGATCCAGGCCCTGTCCTCCCAGCACCCTCTCTGGTGGCCTGGGCGTGCACACAGCACTGACGCCCCCACCTTCACTTCAGGTGGCCTTGGGCCCACCCTGCTCCACTGTTACACACACACCCAGGGCCCTTGGCCCCTATTTATTCACTGATGTAACCGCATCTTGGCGTTACTGGGGACTGGAATTGTACCTCCCCTGTCCCCTAGCCTCTGTCCCAGCATCCTGGGACCAGCTTCGGCGAGTGACCCAGCCCGTCTCTGGTGGAGGGTTGAGCAGCTCCCCCAGGCTCCAGACCTGCTGTGGGTTCAACCTCAACTGCACTCCTGGGGCGAAATCCAGCGCCGCTGCCTTTGTCCCCTGGTGGAGATGGGAAACGGCCCATTGCTTCCCTCCCTGCTGTCAGCACGGGGATTTGGAGGCTGCCACCATCTCCTGCATGGTCGCTGGTCTCCCCAGTGCCCCCCACTCGGCTAGTGAGTACGGGGGAGGATACGGGTTCTTTCTTCTGACAGGGAGTGAGGGCCTCCACTGTCCCTTCCTTTATCCCTTTTCCCTCGGACAGGTGTCCTTGAAGTCCCTTCCCACCTCTTGTGCCACTGTCTGCTTAGCCCAGCTCAGGGTGGGTAGGGACGAGATGAAAGCCGGGGGAGGTGAGTGTAGACGGCAGCCCTTCCTCACATCTGACTCGGGCTCTGCCCGGCTCGAGGCAGCTGCTGGGAGGCTGCAGGAAGAGCTGAGGAAGGTATGTGCGATTTGTCAGAAGTGATTTGCTTGGAAGTTGGCCAGTCGGGGATGACTGGCGGGAAAGAGTAGCTTCTGCCATCAGCATTTGGAGTGCAGGCTATTTGGGGTGCCCCACCCTGGGGCTGGTTCAGGCCTTTGATGAGTCTTCATTGATTTTTGTCTGTTTTCAGATTTTTCTTCGCTTTCTGTGTTTCTCTATTGGCTTTTGATATTATAAAAGCAGTGAATCCCCTTTACAAGAAAATCAAAAGCACACAAAAAGATGTAGTATGTTGATCCCCCTGACTGTCCCTCTGAGGGGTGAGCACTGTGACCACTCAGCACTCCCTCTGAAGGTGCTGAGTGGACAGACAGCACTCACACTGTCACCTCCGCTGGCGCCCAGCCGGAGGTAGGCTGTATAGGAATGGCTTTGCACCCGGACTGTGCTAAAATGCCCCGTTCTCAAGTGTTTCCTACTTTTTCACCGTAAAAAACATGGAACAGATATTGTTCGGCAAAAATAGACATTTAAAACAATTAGTAAAATCTCTCAATCTCTCTACATTCTCAAAAACAAGCAAAGGTGTGTTAAGACTCTTCAGAGCTTGCAAAATACCTGCAGGTGCACCAGAATTGGTCCCCCACAAAACAGCCTGCTGTCCGGAAGGTTCATGCGCCCTAACCCAGCCCACCCCAAACCAGTCGTTCTTGACAGTAACTATGGACACATAAGTGCAGCTTCAGACAGGAAGTGCACTGGGCCTGCCCCTGCTGAGGGGCAGGGGGCTGGAGGGTCCTGGGAGGCCTCAGTTGCCCTTCCATTTGGGATACTCGGCTTGGCAGGGGCAGAGGAAAGGCTGAGAAGGGTTCCTGTGAGGGAGGAGAGAAGGATCATTTGCCCTGCTGGGTCTCAAGGTAACAATAAGGGGAATGAAGAAAGCTCTTGACTGGCTGGCTGAAGGCTTCCAGTGTTGAAAGCCACCCGTCTGTCCTCTGTGTGTCCCGCTGTGAGTTTGTGTGTAGGTTTTATAGACGTAGCATTAGATGGGTGGTGTCTTCACACTTACCATTCCTAACTAGTATAACTTGACATTCAAAAGACAGAACCCCACAGCATTTTCCCTGCCCTGGGCTTGCAGACTGAAGCACTTTCGATGTTGGGCGCTGGCGTTTGTGTTCTGGGCACCGCCCCGACCCTGCCCAGATTGCTATGATATTATTTTATACACAACTTTTTTTCATAAATGTTATAATTTTGTGTCTGTCTTTATAAACTATTATAAGTACTATTTTTGTTATAATTCAAAATAGATATTTAGTATAAAGTTTTTGCTGTTAAATATTTGTTATTTAGTAAAATATGAATTTTTCTCTATTGTAAACATGGTTCAAAATATTAATATGTTTTTATCACAGTTGTTTTAATATTGAAAAAGCACTCGTGTGTTTTGTTTTGATATGAAACTGGTGCCGTGTGAGTGTTTCTGCTGTCGTGTGGTCTTAATCTGTATATAATATTCCATGTTGCATATTAAAAATGAATGTTGTGCATTTGTGATTTTGAAAGTACTCGATGTGGCTCTTTTATAGGCTTCCATAATAAACCGTGGGGACTCACCCTCGTTTGCCTCCCTGGTGTCTGCCTTCTCCGCCTCCCTGAAGGGCACCCGCCACCCACGTTCCCTCCGGCAGCTCTCAATCCTACCCGCCAGGCAGGAAGTTCCTCCTGGACACACTTGGCCCCGTGAGGCCAACCTGTCAGTCCTTGGGCGTGGGCACAGAGAAGTCAGGGCAGTGCCCTTCGGCTAGTAGGTTCCCTGGGGCAGAAAGATGTGACTGGACCGCCACCAGCCCCAGAGGCCTGTCGGGGGTGGGGCGGCGGGAGCTAGCCCCCCAGCAGGGTGTGGCCATGGCCAGCTAGGCTAGGTGTCTCCATGCTGCACTGGCAGCTCAAACAGCTCAGGGCCTGTCCTCCGTCCGTCGTGTTTGTACCGATGTCCGCAGACATGGGGTGAACTCAGGGGCAGATTTCAGTCCCCCCGACTCCCAGCCTCATGTCACATGGACACTTCTCAGAGGCTGTTTCATGGACCAAACGGATTCCCTGATCAAATACATCTGGGGGAGGGTTAGACAGAGGTGGGCAGACCCCTCCAGCGCGGGATTCTCAGGACTTGGGGCCCGAGGACAGGCACACTGAAGGGCAACAGGTGTAGAGCGGGCACAGGTTGCAGGGCTGCCCAAGGCCATTTGATGACAAACTGTGTGATCTTTGCTGATTAGCAACTGCAAAAGCTGCTCAGCAACCTGTCACAGAGGGTGACAGCAAGACCAGCAGAGGTCACGATGTCCAGCACTTGGGACACCAAGGGGTTGCGGGTAGGACGGGGGTGGCACGGCAGTGAGAGGCAGAGCCCTGGCCCCACCGCGCCCAGGCTGGTCCGGGCCTCTGCCATGCCCGGCCCCCTCCCCGCAGCCTGGGCGGGGAAAGCCTGGCCTGAGAAAGGCCTTTTTGTGGTTGCAGCATTTCTCTCTGAACATAGACACACCTCGGGTCGCAGGCCCGGCCACCCAGAAGGGAAACGCCAACGTCTTCCACAGAATGCCACCAGGGAGGGACACTCAGCAGGCCCTGCCCCTCTGTCCTTTGCCCCTTACTGTCTTTCCGCTGCATCCGCCCCCTCCCCACAGCACCCAGGCCTTCCCTCCCTGCCCCCTCGCCTTGCCCTCCCCTGGGTGAAGGGAGAGGAGCACCGGCGAGTCCTCCATTCTCCGCAAGATAAAGCCTCCGAGTGCAGACCAGCGGCCCGCCAGCGCGTGCCCGCTCCGAGGGGCTCCCTCAGACCGAGGTCTCCCGGGCGGTAAAGGCAGCAGTGGAACAGCCAGAGCTTCCACTGGGAAGTGTGCCAGCGGAAGGTAGTAGTTTTTCAGAGTGTGAATTCCATCTCTCCTGCTGGAATGTCCTGTGTGGCAGCTGAGGTGCAGGGATCGTGGTCCTCGGCTGCCCTCAGTCTGACCGCCGTACCACAGGGCGGGCGGGCCGGGCTGGGCGGGTGGCAGGCCTGTCGTCGCCCGGTCCGTCCGTGCCTCTCTCCCGAGGCCCGCAGGTCAGTGACGTCCGCCTGCCTGCCTGCCCGCCCCCCACAGGGCTGACTGCCCCCGGGATCTCCTGGCCTGGAAGGAGAACACAGGCCGTTGTGGGCAGGCAAACACGGCCACTGTTTGTCCAGGGATTGGGGCGCCAGTTTGGAGGGAACTTGAAGACCGCACATTCTGCCACCTCCCAGCATTTTTCCAAAACAGCCTGGCCTTGGCTGGGCCCGGCTGCAGGGGGTGGCTGGGGGCTGGGTGCCAGGAACAGGGCAGGGGAAAGCAGGGCCTTGGGGCCAGCGAGATGAGGTGATCAGGTGAGGGCCAGGACAGCACTCTGCCAGAGCCAGCCTGCTCAGCTGTGACGTGCCTTGGAGGACGAAGAGGGGGAGAATGACTGTGGACGTGTGTGTGTTGGGGGCCAAGGAAAAACAAACCCGACCTGCCCGAGTCTTCGGGCTCGGCCGGCCAGCCTCCACTCCTCCCAGAAGCTCCCGATGGGCAGCCAGGGGCTGGGACTCGGGGTTAGCGCCTCTCTTCCCACCTGACTCCCCTTTCAACAGAAGAGACTGGTCTGCCTCAAGTTTCGGCCCCCACTGACCCTGCCCACTCCCAGGGATGGCGGTCACCCAGAAGACATTTATTCCAGCCTTGGCCTCCTCTCAGTAATGAGAATTCTCCTCTTTACCTTCTCCCCCTCCCCCCCACCCCCCGCAAGCCCTGTACTCTCGGACTGTGGTCTCCTCCAACGGATCCCTGCCCTGCACCACAAGCGAGTGACAGGTGAGCCCACAAAGACGTCCACGGAAGCACAGCACTGCGATGCCACCCTGGAGGGAGCTGGGCCTGCTCTGGAGGCCGTGTGAGGCATGTGGGGTCTTCCCCAGCTAACAGTAGCCCACCTGAGGGTAGCGGGCTTCCTGGGAGGAAGCGTGGGTGGTATGGGAGGCTGGAGTGCCTGCTTGACTTTGGCCTCCTCCTTCCTGGCTTGTCTATACCTGGAGAAGCCCTTCTCGCCTTGCCTGGAGTAGAATTGACATTTTAGGAAGTCCTTCCTTCTCAGTGTCTCCATTTGGGGCTCCAGCTTAGTATCCCTCTGAGCCAAACGTGTGAAGAACACACTGGGAGTGGTGCACCCCGGAGTCGCGCAGCAAAAAAGCCTCACTTGTGCCCGTAATTGCGGTGGTCACAGAACAGCCCCCTGCAAGGGCTCTGGAACAGTCTGAGTCACATCTCATTCCTTGGAAAGAAGGATGGCAACCTCTGATTAGTTGCCCTGGGGTGTGGTGGGAAGGTGGCATTTGAGTGGTGGCTCAAAGGAGAGGTGGGAAGGAAGTGTGGGAAGGGACAGAATGCAGCCCGGGAGGGAGGGGAAGGCGCTGGCCGGATGGGAGCTGCTGAAGCAATATGCCAGGAGTGTAAGAGCAGGGTGGGGGGCGAGAGTGCGGAGTGGAGAAGCTGGGAAGCCTTGGCTGCTTCACGCGAGGCTTTTACACGACTATGGTGTCAATGCTTCCTCCATCAAAACAGTCTACTGTGCTTCCAAGGGCTTTGTGTGACTGTGTGCGTGGTTGTTTTGGAAATAAGTATAGACTCGTAGGCAGCTGCAGTGTTAGTACAGTTGACCCTTGAATAACACAGGTTTGAACTGGGTCCACTCATACATGGATTTTTAAAAAAATGTATGTAGTTGGCTGCTTCTGCCCCTGGGTTTTGCAACTGAGGGTTTAACCAACTGCAGGTAGAAAACTGTGTTTTCCACCCACGGCTGGAAATCTGCGGATGAGGGGCTGACTGTGTGCATCATTCTCTGCTCTTTTATGTGAGGGACTGAGCTTCTGAGGGTTTGGGCATTTGATGGGACCCTGGAACCAATCCCACGGACACTGAGGAACCGCTGTAGTTAAGTTTTGGGGGGGTCAAAAGTTATACACAGACTTTCAATTGCACCAGGGCTGCTGCCCCGACCCCCAGGTTGCCAAGGGTCATCTGTTCGGGAGAGGCCTTGTGCACCGCTCCCTCGGTGGCTGCTCACAGAACTGTAGCACGACATCAACACCAGGAAACTGACACTGGCACATGGTGTGTGTGTAATGTGATGCCATTCTCTCACGCCTCCAGATCCCTGTCCTCACCACTGCAGTCAACATACAGAATTATTTCTTCATCTTGAAGATCTCACTTTCTGTAATCACTCACCAACTCCCCCCCGCCTCTCCCCACCGCCCCTGGCAGCCACTCGTCTGCTCTCCATCTCCACTGTTCTGTCATCTCAAGGTCATGTGAATTGGATCTTCGGTATGTGGTCTTTGGAGATCGGCTTTTTCACGTAGCAAAATGCCCCGAGGACCCAAATTCTTGCACGTGTCACTGGTTTGCTGTGGGTGTCTTGTGGCATGCGTGTTTGTGTAACCGTTCACTCACAGAAGGACATCTGGGCTGTTTTCAGTTTTGGCTATCAAGGAGTCCCTCTTTGTCCCTTATTTCTTTGCTGAAATTGTCTTTTTTTATTTGTTTCAAGAGATTTTGTCATTATTCGTTGAAGGATTTTTTGTGTTGAATATGTTAAAATTCTTGCCAGATCAGTTCATCTTGTGGGCATCAGCGGGCTGCCCTTTCTCACGCAAAAAAGCCGCAATTTTCCCAGTTCTCAATACGATGAGTGATTTCCTCATTGCATCTTGTGTGTTTTGGCTACAATGTGGCACTGCATGTCCTGAATGTATTTTTCACTCTGGTAGTTAGTCTCTGTTTAGGTTTAACACAAAGGTCCTGGCTTAATTTTACGAGCTGCAGTTCCAATGAAAGTTGGATTTCCGGAGTGTTTTTCTGCTATTCTGGTCTCCCAGTTGAGTCAGGGCCATGAGGCTCCCGCTGGCCCTTCTGGTGCTGCCTGAGAGGGCTCAGGGAGCCTGGTCTGCGCAGATGAGGGCTCTGCAAGGGCTGGGCACTGGCTGTGGCGGGACCGTCCCGGCCTTGAGCAAAGGAGAGTTTCCCAGGCTGGGGGCCAGCGGTGCCACTGGAACTCCTAGAGTCTCTGGCTGGGGACGAGGAGTCTCAGGCCCGCAGGAGGAGGGTGCTTCCAAACTTGGATGCTTGTCTTGATCATTGCAGCAATGTAAGTCTTAAAATTGAGCAGAAGTATTCTGTCCACTTTATTCCTCTTTTCAACATTGTTTCAGCTATTGCAGTTCCTTGGTCTTATATACATTTTAGAAGAATTTGTGTATATCTACAAAAGCTCTTGCGGAGATTTTGGTAGAAATTGCTTCATACCGGTATATCAGTTGGGGGTAATGGACATCTTGGCAACTCAAGGTTGAGAGGGGGACGGGTGGGGAGGGGACAGATGGAAACTACTGCTGCCCCAGAGGAAGGGGAAGGAGCAAGACCTCGAGTGGGCTGAGGGTGGCGGGCCGTGGCACTTAAAGAGTAGAGGTGCCCTCGGATGGAGTTACTGCTGCTCCCTGTGAAGTTGTTTAAA